TGTAAGGAATAATTCACATATGTGTCAGCACAGGAAATTCTGGAGGAAATCTCTTACACGTCTCAAGTGCAGACTACAGATCTTATAATTCAACTTAAACCATCTAATGCTGCAATTCCTAATAAAGTTATAGGCCTTTATTTCATTTACCTGTCAAAGCCAATTTTTACTTGCATTTGTCACTTGCCCAGTGTTAATTCTGGAGTGCACACAACCAAAATCAGCTTTCAATGATTGCACGCACCTCCTGTAATCTGACAAACACACTCAGAATAACTCACAAACACCTCCCCTTTATGCTAATGAACGGAACACCAATCAAAATCACCCTCAGGAAAGAGAACAGCAGGGGACAGTAATCGGTTGAGCTCCTCACATCTCCACCATTTCTTCTCAGAATTCCAAAGCATTCCCAATGTCAATCAGGATATCTGTGCATTTGTAGGTTATTCTGCCCTGATTAGATCATTGTGTCTTTGAAGAGGACTGAAAATCCCTTTGTGCCTTATGATCTCCGAAGGAAGAACGTCTTCTGCATTTGCAAGTTGCAACTAATCAAGTGTGGGTCATTGGTGTCAGTGTTCTCTTTGGCAAGGTTAGGGAGTTTGATTTGTGCCCATATTACACATGGGAACAGCGTGGTTTTGATTGCTGCGGTCAATTTAGCTTCTGACAACAGCGGCAGGTCTAGAGGGAGCACCAGCAATAAGCAAGTAATCAAAGATGGTGGTAAAGTTTAGGGATGCACTGAAATTAAAATTCTGGCTGATACCAGTAAACTGATAATTATTTTTATGCTAAGGCCGATAACTGGACAAAACAAAGTTTGTCTAAATAAATAAAAACTACAACACAAAAAATGAAAACAAATTGTTTAAATGCTACAAGTGATATGAATAACAAGTGAACACAACACAAGCAATGAGGTGCAAAATTTAAAATACAGGTAAAACTCCAGCTTTAAAATAAATAAATAAATAAATTAGTGCTGTCAAACGATTAAATCGCATCCAAAATAAAAGTTTTTGTTTACATAATATATGTGTATACTGTGTATATATATATAAATACAAACATATGCATGTATATATTTAAGAAAATGTTTATGTTTATATATTAAATAAATTTATATATAATATAAAATATAAGAATATGAATATATAAATGTATAAACGTAAATATTTTCAAAACATATACTGTATGTTTGTGTATTTATATATACATAATAAATATACACAGTACACATACATATATAATGTAAACAAAAACTTTTATTTTGGATGCGATTAATCGCGATTAATCATTTGACAGCACTAAAATAAATAAATAAATACAAATTTTACAAAATTCCTTCATATTAATAAAGTACATTGTTTCCTATTTTAATAGATTTTTTTTACATTTTTCTTTCAAAGACTATAAAATGTTTTAATTCCATTCGATTTGTATGGGCATTTTTTCCCCACACAAGCAAAGTAAATGATGGAGCAAGTTGCCTGCTGACATCTTTGTGTCAAATTAACAATCACCTCCAAAGTTTTTCTTCATGAAAAGAAGACTCTCTGTGACACTACTATCTAATTCCATTCTTATAATGTCATTCAGCCTGACAATATGGCATCCACAGCATCACACCAAACCTGTCTCCTGTTCGCTGTAGCTCAAGAGTCCAACTCAATACTGCTTTAATATCGTGACAGCACTCACCGACAGCAATTAAAACCCTGTACGTGACAGCTCAGTCTCCGCATCCTAAGAAGGCCGCTTCCAGCTTCAGCAGGAAGTCATTGGTGTCTACTTCAGTCAGTGCACAGGAATCACACAAGGATTCAGAACTAAATTAAACTATAATGTGATTTGTTTCAAAACAAACCTGGAGGGTGAACCTTCTTTCTATTACCCAGAGTCAGCTAAATATTTGCTGGATTTTAAGTGACACTGTAGCTACAGGAGGTCAAGATGATTCCGGTGACCGCGAAGTGACGACTGCGTAATGAGTCCTGTGCCTGGGGCATCGGTGGAAGGGTTTAGCTCTTACTGCCTGAGCTCATTTCGGAATGTAAACATTGGTAAGTCTAATTAGAGGAAGCCTTATCTGCCGCCCAGAGTGCATACGCATTACTGCGACCTCAAAGACAATTTTTCACGAGAAGACTGATGGCTGGGCAACATTTTTAATGAGCTGCTCCAACTGTAATGCATTTAATAAACAATCCCAGCAATGAAGGATTCAATTTAGAAGTGTTCCTGTTACAGTTTAACAAGCGCATGTAAACATGAGCCATTAAACTGCTGATGAGAACCCAAACCCAAAAAATAAAAGAGCTCTATAGTGGATGCAGATTGGTTCAAAACCATGTGATCATGTGTGTTACCCTTAAAGGGGTCATATGATGCGATTTCAATTTTTCCTTTCTCTTTGGAGTGTTACAAGCTCTTGGTGCATAAAGAAGATCTGTAAAGTTGCAAACACTAAAGTATCAAAACCAAAGAGATATTCTTTATAAAAGTTAAGAGTTAACCACGCCTACCTAAAACGGCTCGTTCTAACACGCCCCCACATACCTACGTCACGATCTGGGAAGATTTGCATAACGGCGGCCAAATGTTCACGCAAAAAAAGAAGGCATAACTTTTATTCTCACTGTAGTATTGTTGACGCTGCAGCCATGTACCGAAGACGCTGTGTGCTTCGTTGTGAAACCGAAACTACTTTGTTTGGTCTTCCAAAAGAGAACGATATCCGCTTCGTCATGCCTAGAGCGGATCTGTGCTTGTCGCTGAGGAAATACATCAACTTTGCACTGTGGTTTAATAGTGTCGGAAAGTGTTGTCATTTCAGTATTAGGGTCATTAGCCGGATTTCCATGCACATATTGTTTATACAAATTTTGGGATGTTGCATAAAAATGCTGGATGGAAATACCAAGATAACAACAAAAAAAAGCAATGGAAATGCATTTACCAAATAAATCCTTCTAAACAGTCATGTGACTTGTGGAAGGATGTGGAAAAAAAACGAGTTGTAAAAAACCAAAGTGTACCATATTTACAAGCTAAAACTTGGGGGCTGTTAAAATGGAACTGTTTTCTTATTTAAAGCTGGCATAAAATAAAATTCACCCTATATATTTTCTAAATGCATGTTATTGATCCTACTGTGAACAATTCATAATGTGACCTAATAATGTTTAATCGAAATGTCACACCCACAAAATGTCCAAAATCCATCTCAAAATCTTAAAACCAAGTCCCATTTCTTCGCAATGGTTTTAAACAGTCACTTGCCACACAGGCATTTATGCAAATTTCTGTCAGAACCACTATCGTCCAAGATAATTGACAATTAGCATACAGTTTGGATTGGCGGTATGGTTCTGTTCAGGGCAAGAACTCCCTGCGCATCCATGCAGCCTAGCATGGATAAGAGCTGGGAGAGCAGCGATAACCCCCTAAGGCAAAAGAACAGCACTAACATGTATTGCAGAGATCATTAATATTCAATAATTTAATGTACACATTTTAGAAATTAGCCTGATTCAAAAGAGAATCAGAAAGCCAAATCCTGACTGGACGAGAGGAGGAGTTGGGGATGGAGGAGGGTCATTAGCTATTGAGCAATGCAAAAGCTGCTGATAATACCGAAGGACCTTATACAGTACATGAATGCTGAGATAGGCATCGTATTCCTATAGGTAGACGTAGATCAGCTGATGCGAGCTTGACTACGCTATGCTTGATTTCTACAAAAACAACAAACATTCACTACTAGTGGCTAAAGGAATGGAAAATGAGTGGAAAAAAGGCAAAATGACAACTATAAATCACAGGAAATATTAGAGTATAGGAAAAGGAGGATTTTTGCATGCAGACAAAATGTGTCCAACTGAATCTTTCTTTACTCTTGCTTTTGTATTTAATGCTGCCAAAAGTTATGAGCCCATCAGAATGTGTTACAGGGCTGAAAAACAAAAACCTAAACTCATATGTACAGTACTAATGGGCAAACTGAACTAGAACCTGAAAATCATGTTTTTCTGATCCAGGATGCTGTGATCATTGTACAAAACCACATCTAGAAACCCAAACGAACATCTCATGAGAATCATCGCTTGAGAAATTCGCTCTTATGACTAATACAATCAGTGCTAATTAGTAAGTAGGCTCAAATCTGTACCGTGTTTTCAACAACATACTCTGGCACTCATGACAAGCATGGGGAGAAATCTTGTGCAGAATAACAATGTGATTTCCTGAGGTCACAGGCTCTCAATGCAGCTTTTGTCAACTTTGTGCATCCCAGTTGGTTTCTTTACTTCTACTAGCTACCAATTACGTTTGTTTGTGGCGTCAAACTTAGCGTCTGCGCAATGACCCACAAGAGGCGTAATCATATTCAGTTAGAGGAGTCAAACCTGGCTTTTGACACTCTGAAAACACGGCTGCAATGGAAATGAATTCAAAGAAAATATATGCTTGAACGAAATGGTTAAATACAATGTGTCATTTATCAAAAAAACAAAAACAAATCCAGCCTAGGAAAATTATATGTAAATATATATTTACATGAAAAATGCATGTAACAATTATACAAAAGTGAGATATCGGAAAGCTATAAAATGTGCTCAAAATGATACATTTTTGTTACTTAGCTTCCATGAAGAATATCTTCATGCTGGTGAGGAACTGCAACCTACAATATGATTTTTTAGTACAAAGAACTATGACTTCAAAATATTCATTACTCATTATATGACATCTTTAAAGGACAAGAAATTATGAAAAAAGATACCCTTTTTTATGAACCCTACACATTTACATTCAGAAAATGGCAGCAAAAATGTAATACAAACTCAAGTTAATGCCTTTACATTAATTGCGAGTCAATTATCATTTACAACGATTAAAATATGATGTAAAGAAAGTCTAGTCCTCCAAGTCACTGTAAATTTTGATAAAAGATCACAAAAATAGGCAACAAACCACTGTGTCGCTCTGACCTTTTGGTGCTGAACATGTTGGCAGGACGTTCGCCTCTGACTCAAAGGTTTCCTTCTGGGAAAAACCTGAGAAAGCAACCAGACACAGAAAGGATATTAAGAGCAGATATGTGAAGGTGACCTGAGCCCAAAACAACACTGATTATGTCCCCAAAATACCCCACATTAATAAAAGATTCAAACAGAGCTGCTAAACTAGAAAAACTCTTAGCATTTTTTTTACCACATATAAAGAAAAATACCATGTATAAAGAAATAATGAACACGAAATTATTATTTTGGACACATTTACAGACATTAAAAGTGACCAGAGGATAAAGAACCAACTGGCTGATTAATGTCTGACTGAAGTACATTGAGCTTAATGATCTCAAACGCTCTCATTAAAGGCTTAGTTTAATAGTTTCTGTGAGTTGATGAATAATTCATTATCACACTGGTTAAATGTTGTGAGATGTTTGCCGAGCGTAAGCTTTACTCCATCTAAAAAGACAGAAGGGAGAGTTTGCAGTCTTCTACATCTGTTAATTGGGTGAAATTAAAAAGTGTTGTCAACACTGCATGGTCATTCAAGATGGAATACTTGTTGAATACTGTGCATTATATACTGTATACAGCCTATTTTTAAAATACGCAAATAGTATTTTATACTACGCAAATAGTTTTAAAGTGCGTAAATAGTATGTAAAGATAATTATTACACAAAGTAGTATGCCACATTGTCACATGATGATATTATACGTTTGATTTTGCAAGTGATGCTGGCTTACTATCTTTACCAAACAACAGAACGAAAGTCATTCATTTCCAATGGAGAGTAGTATGGGAGCTGCATTGAGTTCCGATTGAGTTTTGGGATTGGATTTGAGCTTTGGATCCATTGAAATATTTGATCTTTGGATGACGGGTATAATGGAAAGGTGGTTAAAGTCTCCTTATACTAGCCAAATGCAAACAAAAAGATGTGCTTTATCCATGCTTGCCATCATCCCTAGACTTTTTGAGAGAAAAAGAAAAAAAACAGACTTTAATTTGAAGAGGTTTTCATATACATGTCTATGGATAAAAGTGGCTTGTACATCTAAAGAGCATAGGAGAAGCAGGATCTTTTTATCTGTACACCTGATTGGATGCATGCATAAGTGATGTGGCCTGCAGGCTATAGGTACTCCTTAACACAAAGGTTACAGCAGCAGCGGTAAAGGTCATCATTAATGTGCAGGACCTTAAACGTATCATAATGAGAGGGAGTGACAGTTCCGCTCCAACATGACAAAAAAACACAACTTTGACTGTGATGGACAGAGAACGACAGAGAAAATGAGGGACAAACTGTGGCATTACTCATTACTAGCATGGCATGACGTCAGCATGTATTCAAAGGACATATATTTTGGCCAAGACTAAGGTACGTGCCGATACAAAAATAAACCTGCCCAAAGAAATATTCACTTGGAAGAGTTTAGAAGAGTTGATAAGTGCAAAAGCCAATGTTTTGGGAACAGACAGAAAAAAAGTACATGAATTTGCTCTTTGGCTTCTGGAGATGTGCTCAACTCCAACACCTCAACTCTCCTTGGAAGCACATTTTGGGAGTCAAAAGAGCAATTGCACATTCTCCTTCTAGAAAGCTTTGAAAATCCTCCTGAGGTCAAAGGTCATGTTTCATGACCTTTCAGAACAGTACATTCCCAAAGAAGGCATCAACGTCAATCAGAATGTTCACTAAAATGAAAATTAAATGCAAAATCATCAAAAATACAGTGATATAAAAATTACACAGAAGCATGAAATACAAGCAGGAAAAAACCTGTAAATCATTTATAAATCCACTAACTCATAAGTTGTGAATGAGGTCCAATGCTAGTATTGCTACAGCTGCATATGGTAAAAAAAAAAAGATTGTAATAAAAAACAATCATAAGAGTAAAATATAAAAAAAATGTAATAAAAAAATGGGGGGAAATAATGGATAATTTAAAAATAACAACAAAAAAATGAAAATTAAAGTGTTTTTAAATTAAAAGTTTTTCAAAAACAGAAATTGGTCATTCAACAAAGGAACAGATCTTAAAGACAGTTGTGATTGAAGGGAGCTTTTTTTTTTTTTTTTTTTACACACAGAGTCAAATGAGGACAAATAATCATTAAATAGTATAGTGTGTATACGTGTGTATTTGTGTCAATGCTTTGTTGTTTTATTCCTTTTAATGTCCAAATCCACAGACACACAAAACATTGGTCTATTTTAAGAGCTGTGTGTTGTGGAGTTCTGGGAAAACACAGAAAGATGGCATTGATGAACAGCACTGGATCATGGGATTTCTCCTGTTTGGTATTCCACTCTGACTTTCACTTGCTGGTTTAATCTAGTCTATTCTTAATCCAACACATCTGAGACACGTGTGGGAGGAGATGTTAAAAAAATACAGGCAGAGCCTGTTGAAGAAAGAGTTGTAATCATAAAAGCTGTGGTACCTGCAGCTGGTATAAAATAAAAAAATCAGTTCTTTATTCAGCGTTTTATGTCATAAACCCACAGCAGCAGCGGAAGCAGAGGTCTGTGCTGAGGGAAACGTGGCACGTTCAGAAGGTTATTTCATGTTATTTTATTTCCTCTTCTCAGCAGTGAGTCATCCCTCTGGTCTAAGCGTTCAACAGATTTAGTGATTTCATCAAAAGCCTTTCATCGCTCCAAAATAAAGTGGCACGGACTGTGTGTGTGGTTTCAGAGGGCAGTGGCAAGCTTGTTGAGAAAACAGTGCTATTGACATTGAAATAGATGGCCCAGTGAACACTACAAGACAGAAGCAGGTCGCCTTGAGTACATTTAAAGACTTGCTGTTTACACAACTGACTAGGTTGACTTTAAACAACCATCCCAAAAGTCCCATTGTTCTTTTACAAACTCACACACAAAGCAATGCAAGAGTTCTTGACAACATCAACAAACAACAGGGAGGAGGGCTTGCGGTCATTTTCTTGTACAGAACATGCAGAACAAGAAGATAAACAATATGGATGAGACGGCGACTGGGGAGACGTGGGCAGCAGCTCGCTGGCACTTTGATGGCTTGTCTTTTTTTTTTTTTTGAGTCCCGCTTCCCATTGGGAATTGTGGCCCACTGATTCAAGTGTAAAAAATTTGATGTGATTTTTTTCCCCCTAAGACTATGCTTCTCAAACTATAGTACAACTAAGCATTCACTGTATATGAAGTCTTCCTTTCACTAATGGAAAAAAATATATATAGATATATAAAAATATATAAATATGTATTTTAAAACGTTTTTTTAAAAGTTCCTTGTGTTCAATGCTTCATTTACTGTTGTAGCGTCTGGACCAATCAGACACACCATTTTTCATTTGATTTAACAAATCAATTATTCATTAGATTAACAAACATTCACAGACCCCTCACCCAATAAACATACTGGGTGCCAGGATGTCTGCAACGACACCAGGCCCCCCCTGGTCCCCATGGCAACCACGACACCTTTGCTAGACCAGATACATTTACGACCTAATGCCATGTTGAGAATTTCCCCTCGCACTACATTTTCCATAGGAAATCCACAGTGCACAGTAAAAATGGACTCTTCTCTAATTAATTAATAGGAAAACCTTTCTTTGAATGAACACACATATCCTTCAGGTCATTGTGTATGTTGTCTTTGAGATTTTATACATTAATTATTCATATTTCCCCATGAGCTGATTCGCTACACTGTATTTGATCAAAAATACAACAAAAAATATTACAATTTAAAATATTTTTTCTGTTTCATTCAAATTATTTAATAGTGTCAACAGATATAAAAATTTGTCTTTTTAATGTTTTTAAAAAGAAGATTCTTACGTTCATCAAACTTGCATTTACTATATTTTTTAACAAATACAGTACAAATAATATTGTTAATTTTCAGCAGCCATTACTCCAGTCTTCAGTATCACATGATCCTTCAGAAATCATTTTAATATGCTGATTTGCTGGAAAACAATTATACACTTTTGCAGTTATAACATTTTCGTTCAATTTAATGCATTCTTCATTAATTTCTTCCTATAAATGACATATATAAAGATTTATAGATTTTCTAAATACATATTTAAACTATCTGAAAATATAACAAAAGAAAATCTGATTTCTCATGACATGACTTGATGTGATCGTTCTATAAAGCTGTTGAAACAACTATTGTGTAAAATGACCTAAGATTATTCAAATTTAAGAATTTGGCCATACAACCCACCATGGTATTTACAATTTCCTTTGTAAATGTCTAAAAACCGTGGTACTTTTTCATAGGAGCTGTTCACCACCCTAAAACAAGTGCTTAAATGGAACAAAGATGTACAATATTACAAAGCTAATTCTGATTCATCCTCATTCTCCTCCCACAATCACCTGCACAGAAACAAACAAATCATGCGTGTTGGAAGGCTTTCTGTGGTCTTAATCACTGTGTGTATGCAGCGAGGTGACTCATCCTCCACTGTGCTCTCATCATCCTTTACCTGATTCTTACAGAAACTCTTTAAACCTGACAACATCTCCAGGGACTAACAGGGGTCAAATGAAGCCTGCAGAAACACGACGTGATTATGGAAATTCCCCTCACAATTGCTGCAGACGTGTAAACAGCCCTGCTGTTGATTCTGAACGCTGTGTTTACACTCATTCCAGAGGTTCAGTTCTCATCACAGGCCGCTGTTGTCCTCTGTTCACTGCCTGCCATCTAATCAATAAATCACAGCACAGGGGGACGATTTGCTCATGCACATTAACAAATAAAGACCTTCATGAACACTGCTGATTCTACAAACACACGATAGATGGAGTATGTTCATCTAGACCTGTATAAATCACTATGTGAACCTAATGACATCATACAAGACTTTCCATTTATATCCTAATAGTTTTGCCAGACAAAGAAATTCAAGCATGTGAATTTAACTTTTTTCATTCTACATACCCATAAGATCAGTAAAAAAAAGAAAGAAAAGTCACAAAGGATATATATTTATCTCAGTTCTTCTATAGCAATGGAAATCAAATAAGAACACTTCTTCTTAGATATTTCCCCTCAGAAAAAGACCCCAGTGATTTCACATGTCCCCAGATTCAGAAAACATCTAAACGTCTCAAAGTGTTCTTAGATTTGACAAGATGTGCAATCAAAAGTCAGTTCTCAGCATGAACTCAAAAATGTATCTTCAAAGACTATCTGAGATAAATATTCCACTCTATATTCATACTGTGTCAACAACAGTTTGTAACTGTTGCTAAAACTTATAAATTGCTACAATGCTCACAATGCTCAAATTGCTAAAGCAATTAAGTATGTTTGAGAGACAGGTGCAAACAGACTTGATGTCATGGCTGTCATGGCG